CAGCATTACAATCGTCTCTCCCTGTGACAGACTGTAGGTTTGTTTGGTTTTTCCTTTAAACCCCCCCCCAAAACCTATTTTAGCAAATGTCACATTTCTGTGGTGGGCAGACACAGGAGTAAAGCCACTTCCATATTCTCTCATGCACAGAACTTCTATGACAGGTTTATACAGCACGTGTGCTTGGGCTGTGGGTCTCTTGCTTCCCACAGCATCCAAGCCTGTAGAAGGTAGTACTGGCTTGTATGTTATTCTGCAAAAAACCTTCGGAGGAACAACCAACTTTCTGCCTTACCACAATCCTCAGCTGTCTGGGTAATACATCTGGGTGCATCTCTATGCAGTGCAGGGGGACACCAAAGACAGAACAGATTAAGTTAGCTAACAGACTTGTTTGCAATTATTTTAATTTTTTTTTTCCAAACAGCCACCCAAGTATTGGCTGTGTGGTAATAAAACTGTGCATGCAAACAAAATCATTCAATGCAAGGGATTCACTTGGAAGCAGCCCTCTCTCTACTGAAGGTCTCAGGGGTGCTTTCTTTCAGCATCCCAGTTTAAATTATTCCAACTTAAAGAGGAATGGAAACACCTTCTTATTTACATAAAATATTATTGAACAACCAGCAAATCATTTTATACCACACCCTACAACACAGGAATCTTTCATGCAATAAAGAAATTATTTCTACAATATTTTGTTCCTTGAAAGTTCAAAATTAAAAAGGGGAGATATCTTTTATAACTTCTTGCAAAACAAAGGTGGTTCAATTCCTCCCTAGTAAGAGAGCTGCATTTCTCACAAAACCTACAGATGATTCACAAAATAAACCCCGAAATTTCAAATAGGAATCTATAGTGTAAAAGCATTCTGGTATGGCATTTCTGAGATCTTTGCAACAGAACTGATTTATTATTTTAGTGACTTTTTGACTACAGAAAAAGGTAAGAGCTGGCATTTTCTGAGGCTAACACAGACTGGCATTCTTGAGTCTAACAAGTGGTACCTTGAGTGTAACCAGGTTGAAACCTGTCATTTTAATGCAGAGAGCACACCACACAGTGCCATGTTTCTCTCACGCTGAGTGAGATGGGTGGGCTGACTCACTGCCATGGAGTACTCTTACTGACAGAACATGACAGAAAGCTGAGTGATAAAGTAAAAATATATCCAGGCTGATGAGAACAAGGTGGAAGTCAACAACCTTTGAAGTGTAACTGCTTGTATCTTTTCTTCTTTTACAAATGCTCTTTTCATACAGCAAGGACATTTTTTGCCTACTGTTCTAAACATAAAAGGTGTTAGAGCTGTAGGGAGAAAGGTGGACAACCACATTGAAATGCACGAGCCTGCACATATTTGTGACTACTGATACACAGCAAGAGGAGACATTTGTTTTCAATGTAAAAAACCACAAAGGAAACCAGTGATATAAAACATATCACTAAACACATGAAGTAGAGAAAAAAATGCTTTCAAATTTTTCAGTTACAGTAGCCTCTGTCATTGGTATACTGATCAAAATAAAATAAAACAAAAAAAATCAGATAGGTAACTTTCCAAGCAAACAGAGTAACGTGAAGATAGAAAATCTTCAGTGAAACATCACACTAATGTTCTCAAGGTCCCTACAC